TTCCACTTTTTCTTTTCTTTCTTACTGAAATCTTTCAAAAAAAAACAAAATGGTAAGTTTTGAAGTGTTTTGCTTTGAAACTTTTAAATTTTTTTTAATTTTAGAAAATATTTCTAATACTTCCTATATTAATTTTTAGACATCTAGTTGGCTTTTAACTTCAGATTTTAGAAATGGTAAACTTAGAACCCCAGACATCACATATATAACTTACATTTGAGTTTTAGCAAATTCAATCAAAATTAGGTTAAATTCATAATTTTAGATAAAGCAAATTGATTGAAAATTAATTAATAGTCATAATTATGAGTTTTAGCAAATTGTATTGAATTTACAAAGTCATATTTTATATTTGAGTAAATTGGTACTTTTTTAAATTTAACTTATCCTTTTTTTTTAACTTTATAAATAATATTTTTAAAAATATTAGTTTCAGGGTCTGGGTTATATTTTGGCCAAAATTAAGCATAATGCAGGCCAAAAACTGTCTAATTAGTTTTGCAACATTTTATTTTTAATAATTATTTATTTAATTTATTATTTTTATTAATTATTATTTTATCTATAATTTACATATTTTAATTATAAAAATTGGCAGTCTAATTTATATTAATCATTTATTTTTTTATTAAGGGGCGTGCCAGAAATTATGTGATTTAGTGGGTGGGGTCAGGTCCTGCAATCAGGTGTCACAATATACCTTTTATGGGGGGTGTCTAAAGCCGTGTTCGATCACGTGATTTTTGACCCAGTAAATTGGAATCCGGATATATTACGCAAGTTAAAAATAGTTTTACTTTTTTAAAAATTGTGTTACAAAAGTAAAACTTTAAAATAGTGTTCCAAAGAAAAAGTTTTTTTTGAATTTTTTTTTTGAAAAATTTTTTTTAACGAAGTTTTTTTAATTTTAACGAATATTCTTTGATAAAAAACATTTATTTAATGTAATCTTTTAATTAATATATATATTGTTTTATAATATTTTTGTATCATAAATAATAAACAATAAAATTTTTTCGATATTATTATTAAAATAATAAAATATATTTATTTGAAATAAAGTTGAACCTAGACACCCTTATTTATTGTTTAAAATAGGTTCTAAACAACCTTTCAATTCTTCAATAAACACGCCGGTTTGTTCTGCGTTACCTCTTTTTTTGACTCTCCAATATGTATCACGTATTCTTTCCATTAACTCCATCGGGAAATTTTTTGGGGGGATAAATATCGATAATTATCACTTTATCGATAATTATCACATTTTATCGTACTAAATAAATCGATAATTAACGTATTATGATGATCATCGATAAACAAATGGAAAAATATAACGATATTTAACATTAATGTTATTTATTGATAATTATCTGAAAGATATTTAATGGTATTAAGTGTTAAAAATTTTATAGATGAATTTCTATAAGATATTTAAAATTAATGATATTTATTGACAATAATCTGAAAAATAAATAATGATATTAAGTGTTAAAAGATTTTATCAATAAATTTCTGTAAGTTATTTAATGTTAATGATATTTATTGATAATTATCTGAAAGATAAATAATGTTATTCTACAGCCAAATAGAATCATGCTTTTTTCATCATGCTGATATTTTTTTATTAAGCTATAAATAAACTACCATTGCATAATTATTATTGATATTTTTGACGTTGATTAATCAATAGTTTATTGTATTTATAAGATGATCATTGGCGGCTGCAGAATAACACAGTTATTTGATAGGGGGGTTAAAATATCATCCGAACTGCTTCGCAGTTCGGTGATATTCTAACCCCCCTATCAAATAACTAATATATATATTAAATGCATGTTTAATTTTATCAATAAATTTCTGTAGTGATAATTTATCAATCCTGTATAGATTTGTGTTATGTAACATGATATTTTAATTAATTAAAAATAAGTTACGAGATTATTTAACAATCACATGTATTATATCATGTGACATGACTTTCCGTTAGTTAAACTACTAACGCTAAGACGTGACGATAAGTTTATTTTAAACTTTTTTTTAGTTTAATTAACCATTTCCTTCGCCCATTCCATTTACACTCTTCTACCATTCTTTTCCCCTTCCACTCTCACCCGTCTCTTTCACACTTTCCCTCACCCACTTCACCCTTTTTTACGCTTTCTTTTTTCTTTTTTTTTCATTTTCACCTTTCGTTCATTTTTTTCCATTTTTTTCATTTTCCCCTTCATTTTATCTCGTTTATTTTGTTATTGTCATTTATTTCTTTTATTTTGCATTTTTTTTACGCATTTTTTGGTTATTTATTTCCTTTTTTATCCCTTTCCGTTCTTCCGTCTTTTTTAAATGATACCGTCTTTCTCTTTCCCTTTTTTCATTCTTTCCTTTTTCCTCTTTCCTCTATTTTTCCCTTTTCCCTTTTTTTGTTTTCCTCTCTCTCCCTCTCTTTGTCCTTCCTCTCTTTCACACTTCCCTTTCACTTAAATTAAACGCTTTTCACAACATGAAAAAAATTATAAATTTATTTTTTAGGTCACGTTTTTGTTTTGGTAGATCTCTTGTGAAATGATTTTCGTCTATAGTACTAATCCTTTTTTTTTAGGTTTTGTCTCATTTTGACCTTAGGATGCCTGGGAACTTGTTTCTTTTTAGACGGCCAAAAAACACGTTAAAATTCGGTAGGAAAGGGAGGGGGAGGATGTATTCTTTCATCTTTTTCATTGATGAAATGGTTTTCTGGATTTTTTTGGATTTAGCTTAGGATTTAGGTAAGAATTTTTTTTATCAATTTTTTTATTTTATTTTTAACGAACTTTACTAAAAGTTCATTTCCTTTTCTTTTTTTAGATCTTTCAGGTCAGACATTAGTGAATTTTTTTTTTAAATATTTATTTTAACGAAACTTCTACTAACATTTCATTTTTTTCTTTTGTAGATGGCCAGTTCTTCAGTGTTTGGACGTGTGGGAAACTCAGAAGGTTTCTCAGTTGTTAAATTTTTTTTGTGCTGATTTTTTTTATAAATCATCCATATGATTAAAAAATGTTTCTTTTTTTTTAGGTCCATAATGCTCATTTCGAAGGCTGAACTCCTGATTTTCTTTTTTTAGATAGCAGGATCTCTAAACGCGTGAAAAATTCGGTATGAATGAATTTCAATCAGGTTTTTTTTATTTTTTAATGAAACTTTTATTAATGTTTCCTTTTTTTTAGGCGGTTCTTCAGCCACTTCAAATTCTCAGGATTTAGTATATATGTTTTAAATGTTTAAACAATTATCCTTGAGTCTTTTTTGGACGTATGAAATTTTGGTATGTATTTTTATTCATTGATTTATTTAATTTATCGAAATGGCTTCTAACGTTTCGTTGTCTTCCTTTTTTTAGACGACTTGCTCTTCAGGTTTAGACGCATTAGTTAATGTTTTGATATAAGAACCAATTTCTACCTAGATCTAATGTTTTGTTTTTTCTTTTATTTAGGTGGTTGTTCGGTTTTTTTTTTTATTTTTATCGAAACTTTGATAACATTTCAATTTCTTTCTTTTTTTTAGGGAGCTTTTTGGTCTCACTAATCGGCTCGTGGGTTTCAGTTTATTTACTCAAAAATCTTGCCTTCTTTATTTTATTGAAACGTTACTAGTTAATGTATCGATTTTTCCTTTTTTTTAGACGGTTATATTCTCAAGTCTCTTAGACATGCGAAATTTCAGTATGTATTTTTTTAGCATATTTAATTTATTTAATGAAATATTTGCTAACATTTCATTTTTTTTCCTTTTTCAGGTGGCTCTTTGGTTCTTTTGGAAGTTGACTTAGTTTTTTTAAATTTAATTTAATTTTTAACGAAATGTTTGTTAACATTTCGATTTTTTTTTTGTAGGTTCTAGTTTCAACTTTAGGTATTAGACTGAGTTTCAACGTAACTTTGAAACTTAATTTTTTTATTTTTATATAATGAGAAATGTCAACTCACATTTCTTTCTTTATTTTCATAGGTTATAGACTTTGGATTGAATGGGGAAAGTGAAGACGGTAAAGTTTCACAATACCTGTTGCGGGACTTGATTTATTTTATTTTATTAGAAAGAAATGCTTTCTAACGCGTCTTTCATTTTCAGATATGGTAAATTCCATAATTTACAAGATTGCTAATATATTTTTTTTATTTGAAACATTTTCTAATATCTTTTTCGTAGGTTTTTGGATTTTGTTGGGATACTGGGTGATATGATCAGTTTCAAGGGTACTATTCGAAACTTTTTTTAATTTATCTCTTTTAGAAAACTTTAATTAATGTTTATTTTCATTTTGTAGATTCTTAAATGGCTCTTTGGATGAAAAGTTTCATTTTTTGTCTTTTATTATTAATGAAACATTACTTTGGCTTTAGTCGATAGTTTGGTGGGAGTTTATTGTAGAATTTTTGAATTTTTAGTTTTCTTTTTTTCTTTTCAATATTTGCATATTATTTAGTAATAAAATGATGTATTTGCTTAAAAAACTATATATCGTATAATTATCAAATAAATATATTTTGATATTTATTGTTTAGGTTATAGTCCGATGATTATTTGTTTGGTTAAATATCGATGATTATCATTTAAGTTTAAATATGATAATTTATCACTCTTTATCCCTATTGATATTACTCGACGAGTCCGATTAATATCGATGTATGTCATGTGACCTTTTCATCGACATATATCCCCTAGAAAAATTTCCTGATGTCACTTACAGATTGTCATCTATTTACTATTGCATTCTCAGCCTCGGTTAATCTTGACACCGGCACATTCAAATCTATTTCACGATGCATATATACATCAAACCCAGTCTCATCAAACATTCGCTGAAATTGATCCCATGTATCGGGTGTCAATAGCTTCGCATCTCCATACAAACTTTCATGAAAAATGTGGCGGCAAAGCAGCAAGTACCGATGAAAAAATACACAATAGCAGTTTAAAGATGTAAGTCCCAGTGCTGTTTTTCCTTTTTCTAATCATCCATCAACAGCGCAATATTCTTTAATAATCATTTGTTGAACAGGAAAGGGGAATTTATGGATTTCAGTGAGAATCTCATCATCAACACCAATGAAAGAGATTTTTTTGGTGCGAAATTCATAGGCGACACGTTCTGAATCAGTCTGTTTTTTGTCATCAAGCGCAACTATATTATTGCATGCACCTGAACAAAGTTTTGATTAGAATTGAAAATATTTGTTAAAGATGCAAAGACAATTACCAATTAACCCGTGTTTTGGTGAGGTTATCCTCTTTAATTCACTATGATATGACTCTAAGACATTCGTTGAAGTCACCTGCAAAAGTAGGGGAGAGTGCTGCCTCGCCCAAAGTGCCCATTGGTGCATATTTTTTGCGTAATTTCTTAAAATATATTTCTTGATCGTCAGATTTGCACATTCATTGATTGCTTCTTGAATAAGGCTTTCACACCCGATTCTAGTCCTTTTGTGCATGGCATGAAGCATTTTTTGTCGTGTCTTTTTCTCGTAAATTTTGCTCATCCAGGTACGCATGACATGCACCGTGCAAAAGAAAACATCACACTCTTGTTCACCATTCTTAAGACCCGGAAAAGCCATTTTGATAGCATTAGACTCTATATTACTTTGGTCAGAGAGAAAATACCTTGGATTCTAATGATGAGCGAATCGTCTAATTGCTTTCAAACCCATTGCAACAGTTTCACTGTTTTCTTTACTTACGAAAAAGTGAGCCCCAACGTCCCAACATCCATAAGAATTGCGAATATATAAGGTGAATAAGCGACAATCGTATCTATTTGTCTTGTGTGTTGAGTCTATAAGAGATAGCCAGCTATGTTGCTCAAGGTTTTTGAGATGATTTGGATGCATAAAAACGAACCCGTAAGTGGACAGGTCAGGAATTTCATAACGTTCAACCAAGTATCCTCGATTTTTCAAGAAAGAAATGGCCTCTCGAATATCTAATTCTCTCTTGGGATCACCAACAAGATGTGTGTCAAGAGGTCCACGTACCTTATACTTTATATTCGTAACTTCCTTCAGTCTCAACTCCTTAACACATTCACCTAAATCCAGTGTTTCAGTTGCAATCTCCTTAACTGCGCTAAAGATCTCTGGTGGTCGATAGTTCTTTACGGCTTCTTGCAAAACTAATTCACGAACAACTTCTGAGCGTTTTAGTTTTTCACTATCTTCAATTGGGTGTGAATGATCAGGTGAATCTTTAAATCATTCAATTCGTACTTTCTGTTCAGAAAAATAGCGTTGAACTTTAATTTTTGTGGAACATAAGTCAGCAGGTCGAATTTTCGTTACGTGACATTTCTCATTTGGAATGCCTTCTTTCCGGGTACTTGACTTATTATGTTTTTTAAACCGACAAACAAAAACTTTCCACGAGTCACCATTAACATTATTTTTACAGCTAAAGCTGGTCTATATATTTGATACAAGAGGCCACCATTCTTTATCGAACTCCTCTATCGAAAGTTCAAGTGGTTGGTTAACATTGAAGAGAAGGATACGTTTTGTTTTTTGGATATAGGTGTGTTTATTATATTAGAAGCAAACGGAGTCATTTATAAAGTATTTTAAAGTGTTTAATAAAAAACTTCGGTTTATTTTATTAGGTTTTTTTTTTAAAAAAAAAAAAAATTTTTAATAACCTTCAAAAAATCGCGAGAAAGAACGAGAAAAAATAAAAAAATCTTCTTAACGAAATTACGAGGCGCAGAAGTTTTAAAAAAAAAAAAATTTTTAATAACCTTCAAAAAATTAAAGAAAAGAAAAAGAAAAGAAAAGAAAAAAATCAAAGTAAAAATTTATTTACTACATTGTAAAAGTTGTAAAAGAACGCATTTATGTTTATTGTTATGAATTAAAAACGATACCGTTCGCTATTTTTAAAAAAAAAACTTTTTCTTTGGAACACTATTTTAAAGTTTTACTTTTGTAACACAATTTTTAAAAAAGTAAACCTATTTTTAACTTGCGTAACATATCCGGATTCCAATTTACTGGGTCGAAAATCACGTGATCGAACACGGCTTTAGACACCCCCTTTTATGGTAATAGTATATCTTTTATAGTAAATAATATATAATTTGTTTATTAAGAAGCTTTTTTTGCAATTATCTCACCATCTAAAAGTCCAATTTTAATGAATATTTTTTTGTTTTATAAAGTATAAAGAGAGCTACAAAATAAAAAAAAGTTTATGCAAATTGAATTATTGGATAGTAAAATAATTGTATTATAATATAGGGCGTTATTACTTGGCGACCCTGTCGCCATGGNAAAAAGTTTATACAAATTGGATTATTGGATAGTAAAATAATTGTATTATAATATACATATAATATGTGGTAATTTATTTATTAACAAGCTTTTTTGCAATTATTTCACCATCTAGCAATCCAATTTCGATAAATTTTTTATTTATTTTATAAAGCATAAATGGGGCTACAAAACAAAAAAAAGTTTATGCAAATTGGATTATTAAATAGCAAACCAATTGTATTATAATATATCAGATATATATTAATATAATATATTATATGTTATATTGTATGGATTTTTTTAGCCAATCAGAATTCAATCACATGGTGGGTAGGGGGGTCAGGTCTCTAATTGAGCATAATCACGTGATTTCTGGTACGCCCCTAATAATAAAAAAAAAGATTGTTAATTTCGGTAAATTGACAATTAAATTTACCGATCTACAAATAATTTGAATAAACTGAAATTATATTTTATTAAGCAAATTTAAGCCTATAACTCATATTTTGAGTTTTAGCAAATTAGTATAGATTTAAAATGTGATAATTTGATTTTTAGCAAATTAAGTCTATTTTAGCAGAAGAAAAAAGTACTTAAATTCATGCAGATCAGTTATGAGTTATATATATAATGTCTGGGGTCATGTAAACTTCAAAGCTTTTGCTTTAAAACTTTATATTAAAATTTTTTTTTTTAGAAAACATTAACATTTCCTATATTTTTTTTGTAGGACTTTTGGCAGGGTTTTAGAAATAGTAAGTTTCAAAGAGTTTTGCTTCAAAACTTTTAAATTAATTTTTTATTAATTTTTTTATTAGAAGTTTGAAATGGTAAGTTTCATAGTGTTACAAAACTTGAATTTATTTTTTAATTTTTTTTTATTGGAAATGTTTGCTAATGCTTCCTTTTCTTTTGTAAGTTCTGGGATATTTATTTTGTAAAATAAGTTTTATTATGAAACTTATATTTATTTAGAAAAATTTTTTTTTTATTAGGAAATGTTTACTAATGTTTTCTTTCTTTTTTATAGGATCCATTTCTGGGAATTTAGTAATTCAGAAAATGTTAAGTTTCGTACATTTTATCACGAAATTTCCATTTTTTTCTTTTTTCTTTAAGAAATGTTTTAACTAAACATTTATCTTCTTTTTTGTAAGTCTTTTTTTAGGTGATTCTTGTGGATTTCCTTTATGTGTACACTACTTAGACAAAAGTAGGCGGAATCCTATTATATTAATTTCTCAAAATTGCATATAATAACAATGCTTGAAATTTTAATATGTAATAACTATACTTCTCCGCGAATTAATTACGGTTTCGGCATTACGTCTGTAAAAATCTGCCGTAATAATTTCGGCATAACCATTTTTTTTTGACGTAATGCCGCATTTATTTTTTACAGCCATATTGAATTTATACAGACGTAATTACCAAAATTGCCGAATTGTCAAAATGATTTATGCCAATTACATCATAGACTCATAGTATCACGTTATACAAATTGTACATCAAAATTTTGCATATTTGTTTGACGTGTTTGACGTTCTTTGTTCTACTTTGAAGTTTTCTTTGTTCTACCACTTTTTTTTAAGAGAATAAAATAGCTATAAATGAGTGAAATTGAAAATCCAATACCTCTTATACTAAAAAAGCTAAATGTTAAGCCAGGTCGAAAACAAAAGAGGTTTGGAATTTTTATATAGCTATTGGAGAAAAAAAGGAAGGACATCAAAGTTGCAAATGTAAATATTGTCCATGGAGCCAAACACGTGGTGAGCCAAATAGCATAGAAGCACATTTAGCACTTAGTTGTCATAAAGTACCCCATGATGTCAAAGAAAAATTTTTACTTATAGTTAAAACACATGGAGAAATTCAAACAGAAGCAGCAGTAGCATCTAAAAAAAGAAAATCAGGACATCAACAATTAATTACAAAATACGGTGAATCTGATACAATTGAACCAATCAAAAAGCGAATTTGTGATTGTACAGTAGCCAAATTTTTTATCTGCTGCGGGGTCTCCTTTCGTCTTGTTGAACATCCATTTTTTATCGATATGATTAAAAGTTTGTGTTTAGGATATGATCCACCACGAGCATATACACTTTCACAAGATTTTTTATATGAGGAATTAGCAAATATTGTGGTTGATCAGCACTTAGAGTTAAAAAGAACAAAAAATTTAACTTTGGGTAATAAAAATAAATAGATATAATTTTCATATTTAGTTGTTTGATCCGTAAACATATTTACTAATCATAATTTACTATTATTTAAATTAGGCTTCGATGGATGGACTAGTCCTTTAAGGCAATCATTATATGCATTCGTAATAATGACACCTGACCGAAAAGAGATTATACATTGCATAAAAAATCTCTCTGCAAATTCTCATACGGCAAATTTTCTTGCTGATCAATTGAATGATGTAATCACTGAAGTTGGTGCAGAAAACTTTGCTGCAATTGTATCAGATCATGCATCTGCTTGTGCAGCTGCAAAAAAAAAAATTGCTGAACGGTATAAGCATATATTACCAATCAGATGCATCGCGCATCATGTAAATTTAATTTCAACTGACATCTGCAAGACAACATTTGCAAAGGATATAATTTCAAAATGTCAAAAAATAGTTAAATACTTTAAGCAATCTCATCAAGCTGGTGAAGAATTACGTTCAAAAGTGTTAAATGAGATAGTAGGGGGTGGATTAAAATCATACGTTGTAACAAGATGGACTATAGCATGGGACTGCACAAATTCCATCTTGCGACTGGAGCAAATACTTAAAAATGTAAGAAGAAGAATATATTACATAATTATGGTTAAATTCCACCTGAATTATAATTTTAGTCAAGATTGTGAAGTTTGAATATTTTGAATGTACAAATGTTACAAATGTACAAGTACATTTTTGCATTTATTAATTTTTCTTAATTATCAGATATTAGATGAATCTCCAGAAAAGTTAAGTGCCGATATTTCAGAACTTATCCGAAGTCGATCTTTTTTTACCAATGTAGAAGCTGTAAACACCCTTCTAGGACCAGTAAAATCAGTTGTCAAATCACTAGAATTTAAAACAACAACACTTGCGGATTGTTTTGTTGAATTAATTAAACTTTCACAGAAAATCAAGTCACTCCCACCTGTTTCTGATTATGATTTTAAATATCAATGTGTTGAGCGTTTTAATAAGCGCTGGAAAGAATTTGATATCCAACTTTACCTTCTAGCATACATACTTCATCCACACTACAGAGGTAGATATTTTTTATTGGAATTTAGGATTGTTAATTTAAGAATTTTTTTATGCTCTTTTTAATAATTAATTTAGGAAAAGGACTACGACCAACTGTTTTACGTAATGTGTATATTTTAGCGATGGAAATATGGATTAATATGGGAGGTGGTGAACTTTCTTCTGCCGATTTAATTTCCCAAATCCAATCTTTTTATTTAAGAAAAGAAGAATACAATATTCCATTCAGTACGAATAAAGGTGATGTTCTTACTTGGTGGCTTTTATGCAACCCTGTTCGTAGTGAAGAAAATCATATTCAAAAACTAGCATTAAAAATACTAGCGATAACTCCTCACAATGCTGGCTGTAAAAGAGTTTTTTCAGTATTGGGATGGTTTGCAAATCAAAGAAGAACTAAGTAAGTTTTAATTTAATATTTAATAATTAATATTTTGTTTAATATTTCATAATTATATTAAAATAGATTAAAAGTTGAAAAATTGGAAGCTATGGCCAAACTTCATACGCACTATATTATAAATGCCCAAAAAGAACTAAAATATGCTTATGCAGGTGTATCAGAAGACGATTTTCAATCTTCTATACGAGAAGCATTGTCTGAAGCTAATAAAAGTGACGATATAAATGAGGATAATGATGGAGATGAATTTTTTGACGATGACAACAATGACTACAACAACGACGATGATGATAATGGTGGTGGTGGTGATGGTAATGGTGATGGTAATGATGAAGGTGATAATGAAAAGGGTAATCATGATCCAAAAATTCCTAATCTACGTCCTAATCAACGAGATATAGATATTGAAAGATGGGTCGATATAAATGATTCGGAATTAAAAAGATTACTTAATATAGAAGTAAATGTAGTCATTGAACCACATCCATTACCTGTTATTAATCATGGCTCAAATGTATTTGACATTGAAGCTACTGTTGATAAAATATTAGGTAGTTAATATTTGACGATGTAATAATATTTGAAATTCGAATTATTATTTTTATAATTTTACGTATCGAATAAAAATTGCACAAGTTTTGGTATTACATTCTGAATTAAGTAAAAGATCTACAAATTAACACTTAATTAAAACGTATAATGATGTAATACAAATTTTATTTCTACGAATTTTTTTCTCACTGTTCCATTATTTCTCAGTGTTAATTACATTGAATTACGGATAAAAAAAATAACAATTATGTAGATCAAATATTACATTAACTAGGAAAAACATTTAATTATGCAAGAATATAATGTTTTTTATTTTCTCTCTTTGAAAATTTTTTACTCAAATATTCGGATAATTACGTTAGATCTATGGATAAAAAAAATAACAGAATAAAAGGAATAACTAAAGGTAGTACAATTATGTTTAGTTTGATGTTCTTTACTTCTTTTAACACATTATAGATTTATATTAACAAGAACTTATTTGCGAAATAGATTTAAATATAATTTCCTTACGATAAAACCAGTTGCGGAATGGTCTGATGATACAACGTATTAACGTTAACACTAATTCAACAAAGACGATGACAACAGTATGACAACATCAATTATTTGATCTTAATACTTGTCCCACCGATTCGTGGATAAGAATTGCAAATTATATTTGTTATTACCATTGATATGAAATAATGGCTAGGAAGTGGTATTCCCTAACGAAAACTTAAGGACTATTAAGCAACGATCCGGATGCAGAAGGTATAAAATAAGAAGCCCAGTTTGCACGATCACAGATTCTATAGGATTGAGATTACGAAGTTGAAGCACCAGGCAGAAGAATTGGAGAAAAAGAATGGTAAAGAATTGAAGAGTTAGAGGAGGAAAAGATTAGTAGTTTAGTCTGTTTAGAGGGAAAGATTGAAAATATATGATGAACTAACTTTCCGATTCACAGTGGTAATTACAGTATATTTAAATTTAAACTTTCTTAAAAAACTAGTTATTTATTTATTTCAGACCATTATCGAACAGCATACAGGAGATATAGAAGAAATAGACATCTCTCATCAAGAGATAGTAGATCTCATCATCGTAAACGAAGTCGAAGTCGGTTACATCTCGTCCTTGTTCAAGACATCATGTGCGACTAAGATTGCTTGCCAAAACTAGGGGGTTTCCGAAACTGTTTCGGTGTTTCGGCATAGTATATCATATGATATACATATAGTTTCGGCAATGCTATAACCGGTTAGGATCAGATCATTTATTGGTCGTTGTCTCGTTGAACACAGTAAAAATATATATATATATATATATATATTTTTATTTTTTTTTTGTAGGTCGAACTCCTATTTTTTGTAGAACACCAGACCCTTAGAGACCAGGACGAACCATACCTACATAATAAAGGTAATGTAGGAGAAGGGGACCGGGGGTAATGTGTTTGTAATTAAGAAACGTTTTTAACGTTTCTTTCTTTTTTTTTGTAGAACTAGGACGCCGGACTCTTGGAAACGAACCCGGACTTGGATGTGTGTAAGGAAAAAGGAAGGGGAATTTTTTTAATATTAAGAAACGTACTAACGTTTCTTTCTTTATTTTTTTGTAGGGCTAGAATGCCGGACTCTTGAAAACGAATCCGGACTTGGAAATGTAAGGAATAGGGGAGGGGGAATTGATTTTAAATATTAAAGAAACGTACTAACGTTTCTTTCTTTGTTTTTTGTAGGATTAAGACGCCAGACTCTTGGAAACGAATCCGGACTTGGATAATGTAAGGAATGGGGAAGGGGAATTGGTTTTAATATTATTGTAATTTTATTTATTATTTTTTTTTGTAGGTCGGACTACTATTTTTTGTAGAACGCCGAACCCTTAGAGACAAGACGAACCCGGACTTGGAATGTAAGGAATATGGGAAGGGGAGTGGTGTTTTGTAATTAAGAAACGTACTAAACGTTTCTTTTCTTTTTTTGTAGGACTAGGACGCCAAACTCTTAGAAGGCGAACTTACACTTGAGGTAAGTTGGGTGGGTCATGGGTGTAGTGTGTCATGTGTGTTAAATAAGAAACGTTTCTAACGTTTCTTTCTTCTTTTTGTAGGAACGCCGGACGAATTATACGAACCAGACTTTAGTGAAAGGTAAATGGGGAAGGGGGAGTTTCGCGTTTATTTTTTTTCCTTAGTAACGTTACTGATGGTTACTTTTTTTTTCTTTTGTAGGTTCTTGGACTGCTAACACGCTGAAACATTATTGAATATTAGTGTCAGCTATGCCGAAACTATGGCGAAAGGTTTCACCATTCCATAAAGTTTCAGCAGTTTCAGCAGTTTTGGCAAGTTTCAGCAGTTTCGCCATTTCGCAGTTTTGGCGTTTCTCCACTATATAAGAGGTTTTGACTTTTGGCATTAGGTTAAATGGATTTCGGCAGGCAACCTTATGTGCGACGTTGATCGCATTCTTGATCTCGCTACTAAAATCAAATCAAATTTTCGGAATTGACTCTTGATTTGTATCATATATTACAGTCACTCGGTGAATATTAAATATGACAATACTTATTGTTAATTTTTTGAGTTGCCAAGCTTATATTAACATAGTATATTTTATTTTATGAGAGCGCGAACTAGCTCCTCCGAAGTCGAGACCAAAAATACCAGGCTCAGAAGTTCCAGTGGTAAACGAAAGAGTAATTGAAAGTACAATATTTAATGTGCAACAGAAACTTTCTAATACATTTTAATGAAATTAATTTATCAAATAACTATTTTAAATCCATAAATTATATTAGTACCATATGACTAACTTTGTGAATTCACCCAACGTGTTGAACTAAGATGTTAATTATAAAAAATTGTATTACCTCTAATATTTTTTTTTATGACAAGAAATCGTTGTCGGTCTCGTTCAAATAGATGATTTTTTTTATTATTTTATCATTATATATATATTTTTTATTATAATAGAAATTGTATTATATATATTATATTAAATTTTTAAAACTAAATCGATACTTGAAAGTTTTTAATAAAAAAATTTTATAAATTATAATTAACTTTTGCTCTTTGTATACGATATTACAATATATTCTATTATGTCTGTCAAAATTTATTACGTCTGTTAAAATGCATTTCATCCGTCAAAATGTGTTACATCTGTCAAAATGCGTTACGTCTGTTAAAATAATTACGGTTACGTCAATTCAGATTCAGCACAGCTGCCGTATATTTCGGCATTCTAAGAATTCAATTCGCGGAGAAGTATAGTAATAACATAGATTTTGAAAAACATAATATCAAAATTTTAGATTTCTAGCCTTCATACAACTTTCTTAATTAGAAAGAACTTAAAACAAAAATTTGATAATTAACTATATATAAAAGTAAGTAAAGTGAGCAAATAGTCCAATACTGTCAGTTTATTTAGAATTATACATAGCAATGATACCTGAAATTTTAATATGTAGCAGTACAGAGTCCTGGTTAATGTATATACACAAAATTTCTTTTTTTTAGCTTTTATTTTTATACGAATTATGAAAAAATTAAAAGAAAATTAATTTTAAAAACAACAGTGCTGTACTTTCACATTTTCTCAAAATTATGCATAATAACTGAAAATATATATATTTTTTTTGTATTGTAAAGAATATAGTTTAGAAAATAAATATATGAATTTTTATATTTTTGTCTTTTCTAAAAAATAACAAATTAACAATATCATTAAAAGTGCCCATTTTTTTTAATTTAACAATCAATCAGAAATTTTTAAATTTTTTTCATCAATACAGCTGTATGAAAGTTAGAAGCATGAAATTTTGATATTATGTTATTCAAGATCTATGTTATTAAATATTAAAATTTCAAGCACTGTTAATATGTGCAATTTTGAGCAATTAATAAACATAAAGAGACTGCTACTTTTATCCAACTAGTATAACAATTATCAAAGTTCTTTTTTTAATTAATACAGTTGTATGAAGGTTAGAAGCATGAAAATTTGGTATTATATTCTTAAAAACTTATGTTAACACATATTAAAATTTCAAGTATTGTTAATATATGCAATTTTGAGTAATTAGCAAAAATAGGCTTCTGCCTACTTTTGTCCAAGTAGTGTAGTATTTTGGTAAGTTTACAATATTTTCTTTAAATTTTTTATTTTAATGAAATATTACTGACATTCATTATTTTCTTTTTTTTTTTAGGTGACAGATCTTAGATTCGGTATGTTTATAATATTTTAGATTTCATATTTAACAAAACTTTACTTATTGTACATTTTGTTATTTTTTCCCTTTTTTTAAGTGATCAGTTCTTTGGATAATTTCCCTCAAACCTTTGATAATAATGGATGAATTCAAGGATATTTTCACATAACAACCCAAAACTTAATCCAATCCAATACATGAATTTTATATTTAACAAAACTATACTTACGATTTCGTTATTTTGTTTCTTTTTTTAGGTGACTGGTTAAGGCCTCTTTGAACATACAGAATTTCATTTTTGGTAGGTTTTTTTTTCTCTATTTTACTAGGTTATTAATTTAAATGAAACAAATATTAATGTTTTGAATTTTGTTTATTTTTTTTTAGAATGGACACATGGATTTCAGATTTCAGATTTTGGTAAAATATTTCTTTTTCGAATTTAATTTCTTTAATGAAATGTTCTCTAATATTTCATTTTCTTTTATTTAGACAGGCTGTGAAAGTCACTTTTGATATGGGATTTAAGATTGCCTTCCAAAACTAAAAAGGAAATTTCAAAAGATTTCGGCCAATTAAATCAAATGCCAAAAATGCTGAAATTAGGCCGAAACTCGGTCTTAATTTTGGCTAAAATTAAAATTTGGCCGAAATTACGACATTGTGTCACGTGACATTACACTAATTTCCAAAAAAAAGAAATTTTATTTTCCAGTAAAATTGGTGAAATCGGTTTCATAAAGGTTACACAAACTTCCAAAAAAGGAAATTTAAAATGTCAATCATTTTCTGACCAGAATTACGTCCTAAAAATGGCCAGAATTATAACAATAATTTCTGTCAAATTTTGGACTTTTGGCAATAATTTCGGCATTATAAATTTTGGCAAATTTATTTTTGATTGCCTAAACTTTCGGCTACAAAAAAGTTTTGGCCTTGGCCTAAATTACCTAATTTCAGCAAGTAATCTTAATGGAATTCACTGCTCATCAGATCTCTTTGGATCCCTTTGGTCACGTAAGTTTTCCAATTTCAGTTTTTTTCCACATTTTATATAATTTAACAAACTGTTTTTTTTTTTCTTTCTTTTTAGGTAGTTGGTTTTTCAGTTTATTTGGACATGAATTTAGGTGAGTTTTTTCTTTGTTTTTCTTCAAACTGTTTTATAATAAAACGGTTACTAAAGTTTCATATTTCTCTTTTAGACTTAAATTTTGAATAATAAAAGACCTGTTAAAGAGGACCCCGAACAATATATATAAAGGTAGGTTTTGAGTTTGCTTAACCAATATATAAAAATTTTTCCTATGTGAGATTTATTATTGCTTATTTGATAACATAATTTTTAAATAGTCAGATATGATTATGCGTAGCAGAGTATTAAATTATTAATAGTCAGATATATATTTGCGTAGCAGGATAGATTTTTTTAATATATATATATAATATAATATATATTTACATTTTTCACATTAAAAAAATTTAATAAAATATGTAAACAAAGT